TAACTAACTAACTAGATGGCTTACCGAACCCGAAGGTTCATCACCGAATTAACCAAAGCCCTCCACCGGACCCTGTCCTGGGCCAACAAAATCCAGTTTCCTTCAACTCCTATCTCCCATAGATCCTGCCTGACATTATCCTCCCATCTACGTCTAGGTCTCCCCAGCGGTCTCTTCCCTTCAGATTTCCCAACCAGTACCCGGTGCACACCTCTTGTCCCACCCATGCGCGCTACGTGTCCCGCCCATCTCATTCTTCTCGACTTAATCACCCTCACAATACTGGGGGAGCAGTACAGATTTTTAAGCTCGTCATTATGCAGTTTTCTCCACGCCCCATCGTCTTCTCTCTTAGGCCCAAATATCCTCCTCAACACCCGATTCTCAAACACCTGCAATCTGTGTTCCTCCCTCTGAGTGAGAGACCATGTTTTGAACCCATACAAAACAATTACATATAAAAATCACCTGCCAGTGACACGGTAACAAGTTTAATTAAAAATCGCTTATATCGGAAGATTCAGGAGGATCTGAGGGACTTATATCTGTTCATCATTCAGTAATAACCCTAATTAAGAATCATGTGAAGGAAGAACTTTCAGACAGCTTATACTACCAGAATATAAACGACTAAGACCATTCAACTCACATTTGTGCTGTAACTGAGCCCAAACAATCACGATAAACATTTTCCAAGAACAGTAAGTAAAAAAAATTGTTATATCTACCAATTTGAATCGAACAAAATTCCTCAGTCTCAATTCTACATTGAGCAGACATGATCGTATGAAATAGTAAATCAATATTCTCAGTGCCATTTCTCACAGTTATCTTTTCTCTCTTACAGATTCACCAGCAACAACTGAAAATATATTTCTCACAAGTCTCACGAACATTGACTTGTTTTCCTTGTAAGGTCTTGCTTCGATCGCACATGGACTCTTGCTGAAATCAGAAACCCAGTTACTGAGGTCAATATTGCACGGCCATTATCGGTTGACAGACAGAAGGCAAGAACTGGTTTACTATGCAGACGCTAAATGTAAAAGTTATGGAACAAGTCAAAATTACCAACAGGTTCGCAGCTTTCAAAAAACCGCAAGACATCAGCTTGGGAAAGTTTTAGCACGAATATCATAACTTCGGCGAAACACAGTTTACGTCACAGGAGTTAAAGCATCATAAATAATGATTAACAAATCACAGCTGATAAAGAATGCTCAAAGCACGCTACATTACGATGACAACAGAAATCAGGCCGAATGAACGGGCGTAATCCGAACAAACCAAACTGAAAGTATCGTTATGACAGTAATTCACAGTCAACTACAGTATCACCGCCAAAATAATTATGCCACAAACCATAACCATGATTGCTTACATGTATTTAAAATATATGAGAATTTCTGGTTGAGATAAATTCTTCTAAGGCCTTGCGACGGGCTGATCACTCGTCCAAGGAGTCCTACCAAATGTCTAATAGATCGAGAAATCTCCAAAAGGAGGCACCCATGCTCCACATAGGAGCGAAAAGGGTATTATTATTATTAAGTGTTCTGTCTTACGACAGGTCCATTGCCCTGCCCAAAAAGAGCTCTCCAGTTTTCCCTATTCTCGGCTTCTCGCTTTAATTCCTGGAACGTCATCTTCTTTCCTTGTTTAAGGTCGTCGGTTAGCTGTATCAATCTTCTTCC